AGGGACAGATAGAGAGAGAGAGAGAGGGAAAGATAGAGAGAGAGAGAGAGAGTGAGAGAGGGAAAGATAGAGGTAGACAAACACACACACACATACACACACACACACACACACACACGCACACAAACACACACGCTCACAAACACACACACACTTGTGCACAAAACTAAATCAGATAGCTATGTTTCTGTAGCGCCTGTGTTTGTACAGTACCTATTTACATAGATAGGATGACTAGTTTCAGAACAAAACTACAAGTTGGGTACAATTATGAAATGTCCCCTGACATATCTTATCAAAATTCAGTCTCTTGTGGGTGTTCATTAGAGCATTTGTTCAACAAAATAAGAGAAAAGATTCCTCTATAACGTTCAAATTGAGTTTTAAAGACCAGTCAGATGTTGAAATAAAATTTAATGATAAAAATTTACACGTCATCGGCCAGCTGTTAACATGTACTGAGCCCCCAATTGAAATTTTTTTTTTTTTATTGCGGTTTCTAAATCTAAGGTGTTGGTTGCATTTGTTCATGAAACATTTAGTCAAAATTCCAAATTCTGAATGTTGAATAAAAGCAAGAAAAAATATAAAATGTATGTACAATTGTCAAAAGAATGGAACAGTTTTTTTCTCTGTCATGTAATGCTTTCTGGGCTTAGTACATTTTAACAGCTTGCCGACAACTTCCAGAGATCATAAACTGTACCTCACAGTGTTGAATCTTTGATATGTTGGAAGAAGCCAAGTGCTTTATCATTTAAATTGATACCACCCTGAAAACAGCGTCCGTCCAACCAGTCTCATTTACAACATGGTTGTGGACAAAAGACTCGCAACACATCTGCGGAGCTAACTTTTTAACTCAAAGCACTAATAGGGAATAGCTCTTTATCCAATAATTTTTGGCGGGGCTGTGAAAGACCTGTTGCATAGAAAATGTTTTCTAAGTTTTTAATGAGTTTTATCTACTTTTTTTTCATACGTTTGCTTTGAATATTTGCATTATGCCAGTCTGAACATCCAAGTTGGTCAAAGCATGGGTTTCTCCTTCAAAGGCAACTTTTGGGTTCATGTTTTTTTTTAATTGTTTATTTATTTCTGTTTACAGTATTTTGAAAACTACAAGCTTGACCAGGGTAACCAGTCGTCAGAGGCCTTGCTGGACTACAAAACCAACTTCATGAGTTACATTGGTATGGCTTCACAGTACCCCAACTTCATTATGAACCTCGTCAACATTTTTGTGCAGTGTGGCGGGTAAGCTGTTGGGTCATATTGTTTTCCTTCAATATCTGTTAAAATTTGCCTCATGGCTAATATAATATCTTTTAGATAAATCTATGCACAGTCATCAAAGTTTACTTAAAGGATGTTCCCACCCCACCCCACCCTCACAAAGTGGGTTGTTGGGCAATGATTGTGCCCATGTTATGTCTCTTTTTAAAGTTACAACTCTTCTCGTGGTACTTAACACACTTGAATCCTTGTGCTGAGGTATGTGCTCACATTGATATATTACACTTAGTCTGGTGTATTATCCCAGCCTTTCTTTCATATTTTCTTTTCTTTCTTTACTCAATCCACCAAGTTGGGGTCGCTTCAAAATGATCTACTTGATTCAAAAGGTAGTTGGACATGAAACTCCTATTTTTTAGAAAGGGGGGAGGGGGCTTGCTATTTTAATTATAGTCCGCGCTTCGTCTGCGTTTTCGAACATCACTCTTATGTTTGTTAGGCACAACTAGCTACTTATCAGTCAATTTTTTTATTCTCGGCCAGGTCTTGCATCAGTGGTTTTTCCTTGGTGAATGTTCTTATATTCACGACAATCAGTATCAAGTCATTTTTTTGTTTTCACTCTCCGTTTAAGATCATCCTAGGGCTTCGTGCAACACAGTTTCAGTCTTTGACGCTTGTAGTTTTGTGCAGAGAGCATTCAAATTACTTTACTGCTCATGTCTTTGACACGTTTCATTCTGTTCCAACCTGCAGGAATACACTGGGCATCCGTGTATTGTCTGGCATCACCATCACAGTTGTTATGTTCATTGTGACAGTTGTGTTGGCCATGATTGATACTTCAGGATGTAAGTGATTTATTTCAATTAGTTTATAAGTAAGATAATAAAAAAATGCTTTGAGAATGGATTGATATGCTTCCTCTATTAATACATTATTTCATTTTCTACTGCATTTGATCTTTTTCTAAGGCCTAGAAAAAGAATTTGCTGTATTTACCCTTCTTGTCAATGTTGGATTTAATACCTATTATTTTGAGGAATATTTTTTTTTAACTGCCTGCTTTTTCAGAAAGTTTTGATATGTCATGCATGATAAGATTATTAAATGCAGACCGTTTCACTTTCACTCATCATTTATTGTTATTTTAAAAAGTGCTTTATGTGGCTTTTATCATCTGTAAATCCATCTAAATGTACCATTGATAAATAATTACGTCATTTTTTTTCTGTCTCAGTCTCTGTTCTGCTTCTGTGTGTGTGTGTGTGTGTATGTGTGTGTGTGTGTGTGTGTGTGATGGAGTGGTTGGTGGGTGCTCTGGTGTGGTTTGCTCCTTCTTTCCTATCAAACATCTATCGTCCTTATCTCCTCTCCTTCTTTTTTGTGTTTGTTACTCTCTTGTAACACATCTATTCTTCGGCACTTATATGACCTTATTGTGTCTCTCTGTCTCTGTCTCTCACTCTCTATCTGTATCTCTCTCTCTGCTTCTGCTTTTCTCTCTGTCACTGTCTGTCTCTCACTCTCTCTCTGTCTCTCTGTCTCTCTCTCTCTCCCCTCTCTTCACATAAAAATGCATCACACACACACATGCACACTCACACACTTGCACACACGTACATACACACACACACACACACATACAAACACACACACATACACACGCTCACGCACAAAACACACACACACACACTTACAGACACACACCAACACACACATGCAGATGTCTTCAGAATGTCAGTGTTTTGTTTTCTATGTTTTGTCCTCAGGGCCAGAAACCTTCTTCTGGATAACCATGGCTACAGCTATTGTTATAAATGGTGAGATGTATTACCTGTTCCATTGTTCAGAAAAAAAGAAATACTGGTGAGGACAAGATTTATAGATTTGGGAACAAGAATTAAATGTCATTTTAGTATTTCATGTGTTTTTGTTAACTTTAAAGTTGTGGGATGTTTGTTTCCAACCTCAACACAATATCCACTAACCATTGCCCCAGCACATAACCCTGCACAATATTTTAATGATTCATGCTTTGTGTTTTCATTACTCCCATTAGAGATGCTTTGAAAAAAGAGCAACTAAATGGTTTTGGTTGGTATTCAACTGATATTTTACCATCTGTCAGGATAAAAGAGGTGTATTTTTTATCACTGTTTTTTCCACTTTGTTTCAGGAGCATTAACATTAAATAAAAGAGCTTATCTATCTACCGACCTCCCTGTTTGCTCTTTGTGAAGATTCAGATGTTGACAGCTTTAATGTGATATATCATGTTGGATTTTGACCCTGTCACTCGTTTATTGTCTTTTTCTTGTAAAGTTTTATTATATTTCTACTTCTTTTTATGTCCCTGAACAGCTGCTGTTGGGATCTACCAAAACAGCATGTATGGTTTAGCTGCCGTTCTGCCCATGAAATACACAAATGCTGTAATTTTTGGGAATGTGAGTGACACTCTGTAGTAACAGTGAATTCATTATATATTGTATTTGGCCATCTGTCAGCAGAGCTTTTGTTAAACTGTGGAAGTTCCTTTATCTAGTAAATAATGTTTGTGATGCCCGTTAACTTAATGCATGCCTATGTGTAGGGATATTTTTTAAGTGCAGAGTGAACTCCTCTGTGTTGACTGAAAGTTACCCATTGCAAGACAAGTGCATTGGCTTTAGGTTTAAAGGTCATAATTCATACATTGTGGCTTACTGATTAGTTAGTGAGTTATTACTAGATACTTCATTTCTCGCAGTTTTTAGATGTTTCTTTGCTTGAAGATGCCATAAGCATTAAATGGTAAGGCTTGATAAAACATGCTCTATGACAAAATTTATACAATGTAGGTCCAACAGATGTGACATAGGTTATTATTCATGTTGGTTTTTTTTGCTGTCCCTCTATATTTTCCATAATGAAAACTTATCAATGTCAGATTGAACAGTTTGAAACATATATGACGCATTGTGACACATCAAGGCGGAAGGCACACTTTCTGAAACTGAGTCATCAGTGAAAATAGGATGATCAGTCAAATTTTTCAAAGTGTATCTTCAGTACCATTATATTGTGACCTGTCACATCTTTGTCTTGATTATTTTATATGCCCATAGAGAACCTACAATTTAGGATTGCCATTTGAAGATATTTAAAAATGTTTAGTGTTTCTCATGACATTTTGTTTTACGTTTAGAAAAGTTCACTGGATAGCACCAGCATGCTCGCCCTGTGTGCACTGTCTGTGTATCTTCTTTTACGGGATAAACTTTCTTAAACTTTTTTGAAAGACATTTCCTTTGTACCCAGTATCTTAAGACTGCTTATTTCTTATACTTTGAGTTACATTTTTATTTTGACTGTTTTATTACGAAATCACAAAGCCTTTTATTTGTGTTCCACTTCTTTAAAATTGTATAAGACACATGAAATATTCACCACAGTGGCAGTACCTCATTTAATTGATAGAATTATTGATCCTCATTTCTGACTCTTCAACTCATGCTCAGTGTGTATGAAGCAGATGTTTATTTAGTCATACATATAGCTTAAAGCCATTTAGGAAAAATTTGACGTTAACTTGTTTGTTCCTTCAAGATAAAAAAGGAGGCAGTTGTCTGTGTTAGATCACTGTCATGTTTGTCTTTAGATTTGTTTACCTTTGATTTCACTTTGGTGCTATATGAAGGTAAAAAAATTGTGATCACTAAGTTGTTGAAGTATTTAAGAGGCAGTTGATATCCCATTTGTTGTAGTTAAATCATACAGTATTACTTTGTTTAAATCTGAACTGGTTAGGACTGGCCAAATGTGCTGGTCTGGACTGTTCCTGCTGTGAAAGTCAGGTTGTTAGGTCCGTTCATTTGAATTGGAGGAAGTAAGTTTGGAAATGAGGAGAAAGAGAGATACAGATGTTAGCTTAGATTAGTAACCTATAAGTGTGCTCTGTGGGGTTGAGTTCAGGACGCTTTTTGTTGAAAAGGGGGAATGGTTCATGCATTTTAGTGCACATTTATCAAGTTTTTTGCTCAAGGGGGATTGACTATGTTTCAGAAGGGGTCAATGCCAAGCTTTTCAGTCCCAAATAATATAGATTTGGCAAAAGTTCTGGGTTTTTTTCAAAATTACATAGGGTGTTCTGCCCAGTCAGATATATGTTAGTTTACTTCTCTTGAAAGATATTACTTTATGTAAATGTTCGTCATTCCTCTGCAAATCGTTTCTCATGAGTTGAGTATTGGATTTTTTTCCAGAATATTTCAGGGACTTTGGTCGCCATCACCAACATTATTGTGTTAGTTTGTAAGTATACTCACTCTTGTGTACATGTAGTGTCAATCTGATTGATAGTTGTATAAGCAGAGGTGTGCGTGTGTTGGGGGGGGGGGGTTAGAATTTTTAACCAATTTTGGCCAAATGCTACTGTTTTGTTCTCCTTTTCTGAGGGGGGGGGGGGGGCTTTTAAAAAATGTAGATGGTTTGTGGGGTAATTGTCATTACCCTGTAATTATAATGTGTTGGCTTTAAAGTCTACAAATATTCAAATATTAACCTTTTCTTGGTACACATACAACTTTTCATTGATAAAATTACTCAACTTAATGTTTTACTGGAATACACTAGGCTACTGATAGTCAATTCTGTCAGATGTATATCTGTATCCTGGAACATTGCTCATTGAAGTCAAGTTTTATTTTTTAGTCTTAAGTGCAGGCACTTCTGTCAATGTAGATTAAAAGCTGTGGGAATGGGGAGATTTCATGTATTAACTTTGTTAAACTTTTTGTGTTTGAGAGTCAAATAGACACCCATTGACACAGTAATGGTCTTTTATCAGTGTGAAAAAGCAACTGCCAGAAATAAATGAAGGAATTATAAAGAAGAAGGGCCAGTCTGTAATGCCCATAAGTAAACCTCTCGTATGATATGAATAGCACTCTGTGAGACAGAGATTTGATGTGTAGAGTATCATTATTGGCTGAAACAAGGCTTGCCCATTAAATTGAAGCTGACCAACACTGTCCTTTGCTGCTCTGAAGAATTATTGAAATACTTGTTTGTTTACCTGTCATAATTCATACTTAAAAAATTGACGCTCATATGACCTTATGCAGTTGCGAGCGCCGCAAAACCCTCTACTATAAAAAGATATACTTCAAATAGGAATTGTAAACTTTTAGTGCAACCACCTTTTCAAATTTCATACTGTTGATGGTTTTTCTTTCCTTCTTTTTTCGTAATTTCTTTTCATTTCAGCATTGAAAGAAATTGAGCAGATGTAATGAAATATACTTACTTTTTGTCTTAATTTTTTCTGTTGTATCTGTCTTTTGAATGTGTATGTTGCACTTTAGTTTATTTTGTGGCAAGATTTTAAGAAATATACTCTTTTGTCTTGTTCCAGTGGCTCCAAGTAAACGCACATCAGCAATCTACTATTTTGTGGTGGCTATTGTCATACTGATGGTTGCATTTGATGCGTACTTTGTGACTGCCCATTCGGTAAGTCTGTGAGACAAACACAGAATATGTTAACTTTTCAATACCATCTCCGTATTGTTCCTTTTCTTTGGCATGTTAGAATAATACTGTCATGACTGTAACTACATAGGACACTAGAATGAATGGCCTGAGAGGAAAAGAGAAAGACTGACTCTTGTTTCTCAAGTTTTTCTGCTTTTAATGTGTATTTAATAGCTATACCATGCCTTTGGATTATCACTGCTATTTTCATGTGTGTTTGTCAGCATGGATTTAGAAAGGTAGAGAAGGGGTGAGATTTAAAATATTCTGTAAGCCAAGGAAGTATTGTATTTTCATCTACAATAGAATTTCTTCGTGGGGATTGTTTTATCAATATTGCCTTGTTTTGTTTTTCAGCACTGTGCGTCTGATACAGTGAGCTGAGGTTCTCTGTATTTTTACATTTCTCTTGGGAATTTTCTGTTCTAATTGCAGAGGTTTTATCGTCACTATGTTAAACTGGCAGAACTCAAAGATAAAGAATCTATGGAAAAGGCAGGCGGACACAGTAACACCCCCTTCTATGTGATCCTGTTCCGAAGCTTTGGCAGGGTTTTTAAAAAGGTTTGTTGTTCATTATACCGTATTTATGTCTTGGAATATTTCAATAGATAACAGGATTTCCGTGCATAGCCTTGGTAGAACCATCTTCGATGAGAAAAGACAAGCAAACTTGGAGACCCTTATACCTGTTGTGCACTTTAAAGCCTCCTGAGCAGTTGAAAGCGGAAGAAAAGCAAGCCTGCCCAGGCTTGCTGCTAAGGTAAAATTGGAAGTGCCCCTATTGCTTGTCAGAAATTCTCATCGAAAAGCTTTAAAAACATGGTCAGTGTCAAGATTTGCTGTACCTTTAAAAAAATCATGCTGCTGCCTTAACTGCTGTAAATACTTTTGTCTGTTTGGAAAAAACCTCCACTGATATAGTCCAGTGAAAGTAACCAGTATACGTATAATTCATCTGTAGTGTCTTGTACCCTGAAAACTGATGAGTAAGACAGGTTTCCAGGATCAAGACACAAGGCAAGCAGTCAATGTTTGTTCTTATAACCACCGGAGTTTTTAAAGGACCCCATGCTTAGTTGTCCGAACGTTCTGACTTGTGTTGTTTTTTTGTTGTCCAAATCTAAACAAGGAAGTAATGAAAGAAGCCCAGGTGCGTGGCTCACAAATGAGAACAAATAGGAAGTGACAAATGCGGTTTCTGTGAGACTAGCTTCAACATTAGGGCTTTTAGCACCTTGCTCTCACTGGAAAGATAGAAGGCAAATTAGGCAAGAGCAGATCCAGTGAAACTTTTTTGGTAAACTGAACAGATGGTGACGCGGAAATGCCCGAATAGTATGGGATTTTAGAGAGTAAATGAAGGGAGAGCCCTGGCTGATATCTGTTTCAGATATGACACTTTATAATGAGGATCAAGTCTGCAGAGGCCCACAATGTAGGTCCCTGTCATTATTGTCATGGTATCTGGAAAGACCTCCAGTATAAGAATTTGTCAGGATGGGAGAACATGGTTAAATATTTTGTGTTCTACTTTGTAGTCCTTTCTTTAGTAATTAAATTGTCCTTTCCAGTCCTATGAGATTTAGCGAGGTTTTGATCATAATATTATGGGAGTTTTTGGCCACAGAAAAAAAGTATTTGTCTTGATACAATTATTTCAATGTAATTAACTTTGATTCCTCAATGCATTTCAATTCACTGAATTTCATGATAACGCTATGTTTTCCTTCTTTGTTTTTTATTTCAGTTACGTCTTTTAAATATTTTGAATGTGACATTTCAGTGACATTTTGCTTATTATTTCAATAATTTTTTTCCCCCAGATTTATCACTTAATGTTTGGAGTGTGGTTCGTTTTTTTCATCACCCTAGCCTTGTTTCCAGCCGTGATGAGTGATGTAAAGCCACTGAATATTGACATGGATGGTAAGCTTCCGCAGTAGAATTGTCACATACCCCAGTTACTCATACTTTATGCATTTTTGTTTTATTTTCTTGAAAATAAGTAAGTTTGTCAGAAGATATAGTTTTTCTGAAATGCCTCTGTTCCAATTTTTATGTAGCATGCCATTTTTAAAGAACATTTAAACAAAATCATACTTTTTTAAAGAATGTTACTTAAAAACAGTAGATTTACATAGTTACTATTGTTTGTTTCAGGTGAATACTGGTCAGCCATTTTTTGTTTCCTCTGCTTTAACTTCTTTGCCACAATTGGAAACCTTACCACGGAGTTCATCAAATGGGTATGTGTCACTGATGGATAAGCCATGGCCAACACTATGAAAATGTCTATGTTTTATTTTTTTTAATTTATAAAAGATATTTCTAGCTTGTGTTTCTTTTCCGAGTAAGTAAGAGTTGCCACACACTGATAGCGGAAAATTGTGGAGAGAGTAAATATTGGATAACTGTACCGAATTCCTGAGCTTATTTTTGTACAAAGAATAGTTGATGGAATGTGGATAGAATGAGAAATATGAAGTGAAGAGTTGTGCCAGAGAAAAAGATGTACAATAATAGGATTGAAGGATGGTTATTTATGAAGAGTGCAATTGTGGTTTTTAACCCATGGAAAAGATTTTAAAAGTAGTTCCCATTAGTAAATGTGTTATAGAATTGCAATTTTAGAAAAATTTACACGGCATGAGAAAGGAAAGCTTGTAATAAAATACTGGATGTCTTACTCTGAGCAGCCATAGGTTTCCCACACCAATGTGCCTTGAGGGGGTGGTTGCAATTTTGTTTATTGCTTTAAGAAGTTTTTCATTTGTAATTTCAGCTTGTTTTTAAAAAAATTACCTTTAAAACACTTGATTTGTAAAAGTATAAAGAAAGTTCTGTACACATCTAACTTTCATATGGATGTGATTTCTTTCAGCCAAATGCCCGCTGGGTGAATGTGCTGATCATTCTGCGAGTGGTTTTTGTGCCTCTGATGATCCTGGGCAACTTCCGACCTGAGCTTCGTACAGTGCCGGTGTATATCACCCATGATGCTGTGTTCATTGCCTCTGGTGTTCTCTTCTCCTTCACCAGCGGCTATTGCAGCAGTTTGGTCATGATGTACGCTCCCAAGTAAGTAGTCTAAATGTCTGTTGCCACTGTGCTAATAAGAATTATCAAATCTTTATAGGTGAGCTGGAAAGTGTTGTTTGTAGGCCATCCTTTTTTTTAGTTACCTGGGATTGGGGGGGGGGGGGGGGTTGTCTGTGAGTCTAACTTTCTTCTGAGGACTAAAAGTCTGTTGTTTTGTCCATATACATATATATTTCACTGAGATAAACCAGATGGGAACATAATATCAAGCTCACTGGTCCAGTCTTCTCATAGTTTTTTGCACCCATACACTTTGCTACCGCTCTGAGGTATACCTGTTGCCAACTATAATGAGAATAGTTTATGGAGGACTTTGCTTGGTGTATTGTCTCCAATCCAGTACATATGTAGTATGTATATGCAGTGGAATCTGCTGAAACAGAACACGGTTCATCCAAAAATAGCAGTAACCGCAAAGAAAACAAAATCTCAGATTTAAAAAAATTATTATTTGAGCAACCTCTCTAAACCGCTGAGAGTCTGGCAGTCCCACAGATTTTGGCTTAAGCACACTCCACTGTAGAGAGAAATAGAGAGATAGAGAGAGAGGGGAGGGGGTTCTCTTAGATGTCATACTGATTGATTCTCTACAGTGTAGTGATTAGGTCTTTACTTCAGCCACAAATGGGGGAAAGGCCGTAATAAAGAAGTATTCAGCTACATAGACCACCTAATTGTTGAAGTGCCCAAGATGTCTTTATACAGGTGTGTGATTTTTTTTTCAAAATTACTTTTTAAATCGCTGAAAATCTTGGCATGTGTATGACTATTTGCAAACATGCAGGTCCCTGTGAAATCTGCTAGTTCATAAACTGACTGGATGGATTTTTATTCCTTATGTTCATGACTTCCAGTACTTTTAAAGTAATTTGGCTTAATTGTCTTTGTGAATGATATTCTTTCGACTGTGTCCTATGATCTCCAGACAAGTGGCCCCCTCTGATGCCCCCATTGCTGGTATGGTGATGGCTCTCTTCCTTGTCTTTGGCATCTTGTGTGGTGTCAACTTCTCAAGAGTCTGGGACCTCATCATTAAGCTTGGCTGATCAGAATACAAAACTGACCCTGACACAAGATGTTATTATGAAAGTTAACTATGCTGATGGGGGAAACAGCTAAAGTAGCTGTTTCAAACATTTTTTTTCCATGCTGGTTTGGCAGATTTTTAATGCATATTCTTATAACCTTTTTGCTCGACCTATTATCCCCTTAGCTACAGCATGATTTCTGCTTTATTAGACCTAATGGAAAGGTTACTGTGTCAATAGTATTAGTGTTGTTGTTGGAACCCTTTACCCTTGATTCTGTTAATTTGTACATAATTACATAGTACTGATTTGAAGCTTGCGGTTTAGAGTTGCTGTCAGTGGTATATTGGATCAATATTCTATAAATATATATTTTTTAAATTAATAGAATCATGCACAAGGTGGAAATGTTTTGTTCCACAATCTTTTACCTCTTACAATAATTTCTTTCTTTTTTTTTAAAAATACAGTAGTCTCCGCCTAAGATCCCGGTGCTCGGGAGCAAGGAAATGCGGGATCTTAGGCGAACCGAGATCTTAACCGACGATCCCAGGGAAGAATCTATGGGGACCCATATTAAGGCTTACAATCGGTAAAATGGTCCGCTTGGTGGGATTATGACATGTGGCGAGCAAAGAGTGGTTAACCTTGATGGCCTATCACAGTGAATAGTGCCATGAGGCGTGCCATTTTCACTTATTATCCTATTATGAGTCTCAAGATCTACGCTTATTCAGTTGCCCCTCCCCTTTACTTGTCGAAAATTTATAGCTTTCCATCTCTGACCGAGTCCCCCTCCCCCCTCCCCAAACGCCTTTGTCGTTACACACCATTTAGTCGTGAACACACCAATTCAAATTCAGTCTGTCTAGCAAATTCGGGCGTAGAGACAACTGCTGCAATCAACGCCTACTGCAATGGTCAGGGAAGAGTTCAGGGTTCGATGTGGCCCTATCCACCCAGCGAGTGATGTAAGTTTAGGGGGAGAGCTCAGGTGTGAGTGCTATGCGTGGGGAAAACAAACGCGTCGGTCAGTTCACACCCCGGTGTGATCCCGTCGGAGGCAAACATTGTATCGCTTCGTCCAGTTTTACAACGTGTATGTGATCACATTCACGATAGTGGCTGATCTTTGACGCGACGGACAGTTTATTGATCTCAACTTTTGACTCTTGTTTGATCGGCTGTGCTCGCCCGGGTTTTTGTTCTGCAAATTATGATCTGAAATGCGGGATCTTAGCCGAATGTAGACCTTCAGAGTGAATCAGAGCGGGATCTTAGGGGTGACTTTTGTATAGTAAAAATTCTGTTTTCTTAAAACAGCGAGATCTTAAGGGAACCGAGATCGTAAGCGGTGGGATCTTAGGCGGAGACTACTGTATATGATTTGTTTATTTAGGCACTTCTGTTTTTTGTGCATCCAGTAACTCGGTGCTATGTAGGTTCTCAGGTTCAATTGAATGTATAGTCTATTTGGTTTCGGACTTCTAAATGACTTCTTTTCTTATGACATTTTCATATTATTTTGTCGGTTTGGTTTAGCTTGGGGGTTATTTCCGACTGTCAAAAAAAACCGAACCATGTCAAATGTTTCTTTCTTTCTTTTTTTTTGCTAAACTCCGTTCTGCAAAATAGAATTTTGTACCTTTGTAAACATGACATCACCCCTAGTGTGCTACTTACTTCATGACATTTAAAAGATTATTTTCCTTTTAATTTTGGTATCTTTTCCAAACAGTCTGACCTCAGGATCGTTCTACTTTCTATTGAAGTTCAATTTTCGTTTGGAAAATGTTTTGTTATTTTGTGTTGATAGTTTGGTATTTGGTGTAGCTTGTACGAGGGGCAGTCAAAAAGTAATGCAAGTTGGTCGCTATTTTGCGCAATATTGCCTCAAATTTTATTCAATTCAGTTCACAAGTACTTGTACTTTTACCTGTACTTTTGAACTCAAAATGTTAAAATATATGTTTGCTTGATTTTTGCTGGTATGACGTCACATCAGAATGGTTGCCCCCTTGGTGGTCTGTCAGAGTCGAAGAGCTGTGATTGAATTTCTTGTTTTAGAAGGAGAATCCACCGGTAACATCCAGAAGAGACTTTAAAATATTTAAAAGAACCAAGCTCTAGATTTTGGCACTGTGTATAGGTGGGTTAGACTATGAGCAATGAACCGGAAGAAAAGGAAGAGGTATCCATATGCTTGTCAGACAAGCATCGTCCCGAAGAATCAGCCGCAAAAATCATGGCAACCGCGTTTTGGACATTCATAGAGTGTTTCTCGCATATTCTTTTTACCAAAGGGAGTAACTGTCAATTCTGAAGCCTACATTGAAATACTGAAATGACCGAATGCAAGAATTCGACGAGTCAGACCACATTTGAACCTGGAAAGTGTCCTGCCTGCATACGAGTACCGGAACAAGGGAGACAATGGCCCTGTTTCTATGGAAAACATTGCCACACCCAGCTTATTCTCCTGATTTGACACCTTCAGACTTCTACCTTTTCGGTCCTAGAAGAGATCAATTGAGATGTTAACAGTATGGAAACAATAGAGAAATCAAGACTGCTGTACCTGTAAGACCAACCTGCTCAGTTTTACAAAGCTGGCATATGTGGACTTAATAAAAGGTGGACAGTGGCTATTGAAGGAAATCGAGACTATTTTGAAAAATGGCAATCTGATCCTCAGATGCTCCCCTTCAATTTGAGGTATGATATTTGCCAGTGCGTTCTTTTTTCTTTAAGTTATAAACGAACTTGCATTACTTTTTGACTCCCCCTCGTACTTCATGAAGTATGAGTCTTGATTTTATTTTGGAAGTGCCTCTGGGGCAGGGTGTCTGAGTTGACAAGCTGTGCTAAAGATGAAGCATTTTTTTCCTCTAGGAGTGTTTTCAGTTTAAATGCAATTTGATCAAATGTGATATTCTTTTGTTTTATGACCTTTTTAACATAAGGTTTTGTTTTTAGTTTTTGTACCATCTTTGATGGAGACAATTTACTTTTTACCCCTGTCTTTTTTTAAGGTGGACTGTGAATGCCCTGTTCTGTTTTGAAACAACTTTCCTTGAAAATTGTATACTTTGTCCTTGAATTTGTGAGGGAAAAGAGCTTCTACTTGACACCATTTGTTACCTGTGTTGTTTTATAGAATTACCATAAGCAGTTGCCTCCAGCTCTGGCCTGGAAGGCATCTGTTGTGTTGACATTGGGATCTGGACCAGGAATGCACAAGTCTGGCAATGCAGTTGGATAAGAAATTGTCTTTATTCAGAGACTTTCTACCTCTCTTGTGAGAAATGTGGCAGTAAAAGAATTGTTTTGGTTTGTTTTATCCAAAATAGTAACACTGAATCCTATTAGTCTTTTTAGAGGGCCATTATTGTTTAGTTTCTTGGAAAAGAGCACCAATTTCTACAAGTGATGTTATGATACTCTTGCCTTTCTGGATGACACCGTAGATATTTTTAGAGCGCAAAAGAACAGCATTGCACAAAGGGTACTACACAGAGCCATGTCGGATGGCTGACTTCAGTGACCTGAATGGTTCCTTCAGACACTGAATTTCTGGGGGAAAAATGCCGAGTATTAATTTTTATCTAAATGGCATTGGCATGATTGGACGCTGGCTGACTAGTTATTTGCGCCAAATTGAGTTCTGTATTTTGTTCCACTTGAACAAGCTTTTTGACTCAGTGGAAACCCTGCTTCAAATAGCAGTATTGATCTATTTTCCTTGAGTGCCTGTTTGAGAAAACGAAGAAAAAGTGCTATGTTCAGTTTATCTGTAGTCCTCTCTGTCTTGTTTGTACCAAGATGGATGTCAGTTTTCGTCTAGTTCTGCTGCTACAATATTTTCATGTAACGGCAGTTATGGTTTAGTGCATTACAGTGGGGGTTCTCATGAAAATCAGTGTCTTCCCACAGTAAAAATAATTTCAGACTTCAGTAAAATGTGCCCTGAAATTACTCTGTAAAAGAATAATATTTTGGACACTATCTGAACAAAATCTTTTAAAATTGTGATTTACAGATGGTTCATCTTTCCATATATTAATCAAACTTAATGTCTGATAGAACTGAAAACAAGGTCCAATGTTAATAATATATCGAAATAACCTTACGTGCCTTTGAGCATGTTTTCTCAGAGCAAGGCAAGAATGTGTGCATTGTTTCCAAGACATCCTGTCGGTTAGTCATACTCAAACTGCCAGTCACAAAGAGAGGCAATGCTCTAACAAAATGGGGTAGCTTAACGTATTGCTTTATCCAAAGTAGTCACTTTAGTTTCAGGACAAAAGTGCAGTAGTGCATATCACCAAGTTCGTCTGTCATTAATTGTTTTTAAAAAGGTGACCTGATTTTCCATTGTTTTAAATAACTGGTGAAAATGAATATAATGTTTTGCATAACAGTTTGCTTCCTGTGAGGAGTATGAGTGCAAGTTGGCCCGAAATAAACCAATCATGTTGCTTATGTATGCAATGTGAAAAATTATTCGTGATGATTTTATGCGATCAAAATACAGAACATAAACCTCATACTGATATTACTTCAGAGGAAATATGATCGTCTCAATAGAGCATGTGGATATGGTACAAGGTTTTTTTTGTTTTTGTTTTCAAGTCATTTTTCGTGTGTTAGACTGAAGGCATGTGCCTAGCAAGTCTTACTGTTTGTTGTGCCTTGTGTGAATGACTTTTTCTAATAAAACATTGTTATTTCATTTTATTCATTTTGTTTTCAAGAGTTTTCTTAAGCTGCACCAAATATGTGAGCGTGCCTCATGAAAGGTACCTTGCTTCAAAGGTTATAAACTAAGTTCCATTAAGAATGGATTCTTTAGCCATTAATATATCAGTATTTACAAGGACTTGAGTTTCTTTTACTTTAAATACATTTTAAAAGATTTTTTAAAACTTGAGCTATACTGCATAATTTAAAAAATGCGTGAGAAAACTGGTTTTCCGAGTAAACACGGCAGATGGTTTGTCCTGTCCGTTCATGACCCAATCACATTGCATGCCAAAATTTAGGTAGTTCTCTCCCCTCTCTAATGGTGGGTAGTGCGCATGAATATATGGAAAATGTAAACAAAGCGAAGCTTTGCGCATTCACACCCTTTCTTTTTTTTGGGAGAGCAAACTTGTATCGCCTATTTCTGCTCTGTGCATACCAAGAACTATTTCTTGAAAGTTCTTGCTCAAGGTGGTGGTGAATTTGTTTCCAAAAGACGTAATATAAGCACTTTGAAGCTGTTCCTTTATCTTCACTGCTTTTTGAAGTTAGTTTGTGAGTAGCGAATGTGTTGTCAGGTCATCTCGAGGCGTTGATCTGTCTATTTGAAGCAGAAACAAAGGGGAAACTTTAACACCTTTTTTCTCCAAACTTTGTTTCCGTACTTAGCCTTTTAAAATCACCCATATCTAAAAAACTGATGAAGATATCTTAAGAATTCAAAAGCAAATTATTTAGAAATGATCTCTGTAAATGAAATGCAAAAA